GGGGGGGTTCAACATTTCAAGGCTTAGTTGTGGTATTCCCAGTGAAAGATGAAGCAGTGAAAAAGGAATGGAGTTTTCTGCTAAAAGGGCCTCTGGACAGCAGTGTAATTGCCATTCCCCCCTCTTTAGATTTTTCTTTCATGTGAGTGGTGTGGTGTTAATTATTGTCCACTGTGTGATTTGTCCTTTTCATGGACAATACAGAGTGGACAATACTGCGCTGGCATTTAAGTGGAGTGTTGTGACCAGTGGTGTAAGCTGAAAAGTCTCGATCTGTGTTTATGAGTTGGTTTACCTTCCAGAGCAGCACAGCTAACAGCAAAAAGATGAGGATTCCCACCAGCAAACTGATGGCGATGATCCAGCCGACTACGTAACCCCTTGGCTCCTGACTGTGGAGAGCCTCAAACACCAGCTAAAACACAACAACATCACAGTGAGTCACACTAAAATGCAACACACACAATGCACATTAAGTCATGTGCTGCTAATGATGCAATCCAGTGCAAAACAGCAAGAGAGACACATCTGATTTCAGAGTGCTTTGGTTCCATGGTTTGATTCAAAGGACCAATGTTTAAAGCAAAAAAAAAAATGCTTTCAAATAACAGGAAACTAGTACGAAGGCATTTTTCAGGACATAGATATTGGTTATACAAACAGGAAGCACAAGTCAGACTTAAATTAGATTCTAGGTTCATGGAGTGACCTTTGGTCCACATGGAACAAACATTATGAGCAGGTTTATTAATTTGTAACAGCTGATGCTCTCAAACATATCTGCAGTCATAAGTGAGCATTTTTGGACATCTCAGTTAGTCAGTCCTCTTTGGTCCAGACTAAATTATTTTGATAACCATACAATGGAGAACCATGACATTTATTGAGGATGTGATGAACCCAAGACTTTTAATGTAAGCAAAAAACCCCAAACAAACAAACATAAACAACTGATAAGATTCACATGAGCCTGTAAGGAACATTTCCATGCTAACGAGCTAAACTAAGATAGTGACTTTGATATATGATGGTAACGTTAAACATCAGCAAGTATTTGTCTTATTAATCAGAGCAGATAAAAACAATGCATCATCTACTCCCTTTTTGAATTTTGTGTCATGCTTTTAGACTGGCTAATTCTGAGTTATTGCTATTCAGGGAGCCTTGGCAACTCTTAGCTTGGTTCTGGTGTGATTTAGAGGTATCTGAGCTTTTTCCCATGACATGGAGGAACGCTGACCAGCTGGATAATCTGTCACTGACAACAAATTCATGCTTATTTGAACCAGTGCACTCTGGCTTAAGTACAAAACATTTGAAGTGGTCCTAAGTGACAAATTTTGTATATACTGTAATTAAGTAAACACACTGCATTTCTTTTGATTCCCTTTCTAGCAGCAGTGCTAATGTTTATTTGAATTTGTAGCAATTACCATTACATTTAAAAGGCCATATTTCTACTTTGGACAAAAGTTGATTTGAAGCTATTAGATATCGCTGTACAGGAGCCTTGTCTACATATATATTCGTATCTGTAAATGAAAATATATGTAGTGTGTATATATATTGTTTTTGTTTTATATGTCTGAAACAAATAAAGATACAATACAATACAATACAACTGAGCTTGACTGGTTAAATTTACACTGTATTAACAGTGTTTTGACTGAGTGAAATATTCCATTACTCTGCATCACAGCAAAGCCTGCTGTAATATTAGCATTCTGGCTTTAAATGGAAAACAGCAGACTGCCCAATTGCAAAATCGATGGGTTTATTTACTTACTAATGTTCGCAAACAAAGACAAATACTGTGTGTTCACACACAGTGGGCCGACCGAGGGACGCTGTGGCTTTAATGTCCAGCGTTGCACGGGATTTAAACACAAATGTGGCATGAAACACCAACTGTGAGCCAGCCAAAAAACAAAGTGGACAAGTGAAGAACAATCTCTCTGTTGAATAGTTTCACACATTAACACGTTCCCGTTACCCCAAGCTCTGGAATGTAACTGTTGTTATGCATGCCAAGGCGTTTGCGTGTACAAAAAAGATTAAACCTCTACTGGTCATTGCTCTCTGACGCTGAGTTTCTCAATTTAACTTTGGCAGTCCCTTAATGTGAAGTTCATTTACCTCTGTCCTCAATTTCTAAATTTGTAAGTTGCACACTGTCATGAGATTTTTAACATATATAAGTTTATTTACTACTGTTCATTATAAGCTCATATTGATGTGTTCATATATTTCACAAATATGCTGTACTTTTTCATTTTTGTGCACACTGACATTTTAACTCTGTATGTTGATGAAGGCCAGCTGCAGACCTAACCACAAGAGATTAAATCTCTAACAGCAGTTTCCGAAACTAGACTACACTCATATGACCCACACACACATGTACACACACTCAGTCACAGGAAGTTTTTAACAGAGCATGTATTAAAGGAATATCAAGGTATTTGCATACGCGATGTGTCTTATAAATAAAGAGCTATCGCCTGCACTCGTTGTTTCTCCTGAGAGCCGCTCACTCGTGCACGTTGCTATTTTAACAGAACTTGTCTGAGTGTCATTATTTCACCTGAATAATGTCTTGTTAATAAATAAAGTTAACCACGGACACACACTTTCTTGCTTTAACAGCCTTATGTGTGCATTCTTAGTAAAAAAAAAAAAACCCAACATGTGGATTTATGTGGATTTGTTTTTATTTCACGGGTGATAAAAAAGTCAAGCTTGTTGTCTCGCTGACAGCCAGAAGGCTTGCTGTGAACAGCACAGCCTGGGACCACAAATTTAATTTGCACTGTGTTCTCTAGTTAGCTGGGATCCTGAGGGAAAAGGTAAAAATGTTCACTAAAATTCACCGGAGTACATTTCACTGGAATGAGCACACTTGCAAAGTGCTGAAAGAGCAGCATGGCTTGGAGACATTCATACCAGGTCTGAATTTTCCGAGCACAACTGGAGCCCAGGGTCAGCAGGCCTGCAACCCAATCAGTGCTGTAATCTTTTCCAGGATCCCACTGCAAGCATGCTGGTTGCTAAACGCAATCAGCAAATCCGATCTGCTAGGCCATTTGATCACTCAGCATACAACAATGGGGGGAGGGTCTGTCCTTGTGCACATCTAAGGGACCCCCAAAAGCAGCTAATAGAAATACCACTACACAGTAAACCCACAATGACCAACTGTTCCCTGCACTCATGTCATTTGTGACAGATCTGGAGCACATCAGCAATTCAAGGGAATTGTGACCGAGCTTCTAAAGATGAACATGCTTTTTGATATATGTTTGCAGGGAAAGCACACAATCCTTCACCTGTAACCTCTGGATGGGTAGAATCTCCAATAAGCATCTGACCTGTGTGACTCCTTTTGAGCACATAGGTCAGCAGCAGCAGTTCTGTTCTGCCTGCCGCTTTTGGCAAGATGAAATGTGTGACGGCTATTAATCCAAAGTGAGACAACACGGACAAAGACACAAACAGTTCACTGAAATTTGCTAAAGTTTATAGATGGTAAATGGACTGGAACTTGTAAAAAATGTTTCTACTCTGATGGCTCAAAATGCTTTCTTTTTACATTTTCAAACAAGGTTAAACAAGTCTTATTCAAACATTCACATTTTTCTATACCTAAGGTCTTTATCTAAGATTCCTGTGCACACACATCAATAGATGCATCGGGGGCAACTCTGGTTTCAGTATCTTGCTCGAGGATACTTCGAATTTGAGTAGCCAACAACCTTCTGATTGGTAGATGACATGCTTTCCCTTCTGAGCTTTTGCCAAATTTTGGATTAATATAGAGGTTTTTAGATATTCTTCACTGACATGGTCACACAGTGAGGGTAAATTCATGGCATACTCACAGAAATGTCCTCTGGCAGGCCATTCGGCACCTCCACTGTCCTGTCATTTACTTGCACGTTGCCCCGTGTGACGAACTGGATCACAGAGGAAGAATCCTGTCGGTGGACAGATTGTAAATTATGGACTGCTTTAAGAATCACAGCAACCTGTGAATGAATTTATTACCCTCACGGCTTGAGCCTCACCGTCTTTAAGATTTCAGTGTTGAGTAAAACTTTTATATCTATGCTCAAAGCTTCTTCTTTTAACTGTGGACCCAGGCTGCAGGAGATCGTCATACAGGCTCTTCCAGGCCGATCACAATCCTGTTAAAAAAAGATATTTGAAAAGCAGTGAGAAAAAAGAAGGACGTGTGATAAACAGATGTTACACTGACTAAAAGAAAATAAAAACAAGAATCCTCATAGGGGGTGACTCTCAGTGACCTCTGAAAAGTCAAAGTGCAACATGAGGGCTGTATATTTACCAAGACTTTCCGTCCTGATTTGGTGAAGAAGGCAAAGATGGAGTGAAAGATGCTCTCTTTGTCCTGGGGGATGGTGCATGGTGTTGGGTTCCTATGAGGAGTGCAGTTCCCTCGACCATTGGCCACCTGAAGCACAGTTATTTAACAGGCATGTGTGACATGGGTGCAGAAGAAAGAAAGCATTTTTGCCAAGTTTATGCTGCAGACAGGTTTGGGAATGACATCGAAAATGTTGACGCATGTACTTTTGTCACCTAAACTGGACCTATCTCGCTATTGTTAGGAGTCTCCAGGGCTCACAGGAAGTTCTCTCCAAGAACAAGTTGGAACCCCTCCCAGACTGTTTTCCCCATATGGAGTGATTTAGAGGTGTCTGGTTTACTGCCCAGCCCCAAGAGAGCATTTCCCCTTTCCTCTCTCCTCAGCTGGACCTGAAGCTCTAGAGGTGGAGATCTCCACATTGTCTGTTCTGCTAGAGTACCACCCAGCATGCCTGAGCTTTTATTGCAGAATTTTCCAGTGTCCTGTGTTTCTGCTGCATTTGCTGGCATGAAGAGCCATAGGCTCCACCAGCAGCTGCACTAAGTTTGGCAGGATGGGAGATTTTGTGCAGAAAAACTGCAAAAGCCTGAAGCTTTTATATATCACGAACAAATGGAAATGTGTGTAAAATGTAAGAAAACCTGACTATAAAACATAACTGCGCTACTGTCCGATGTGCCACAGGCTGCATGCTTTGTTAACAGCTTTATGATATGTGGTTCCAGGCTAGGGATGGTACGGTGTAGTAGCCAGCCCCTTCAGGTGTCCCACTCCCATTTTGTGCAAGCCGTCTGAGTCCCCTAAAGTGATTCCAGATGGCTGTAGGAGGGTGGGATACAGTCAACTCTGTCTGCCCATTCACAGTCAATACAATTAATAGTTTGAGCACCCCCATGATCTACCTGTATGAAAAGCTTTGTGCAAGGGTTAAGAAAATATTTCAACCTGGTAGGAGTATTGTGTTTCTTTGTCAAAATGCAAAATGTTGTGAAACAAAATGGGTGGCCAGCTTCAATAGCAATGTCAACATTTTTGCTTCAACTTTCACTGGTCCTGTGGTGCCCCACGCTAAGCATACTGCCCATGTCCTGAACAAAAACCTAGAGGTATAGCAGCTCTCAGTACATAAAAGAATGCTTTGGAGTGGATACAAACAGCTGTGCCATGAGGAGCAAAACAAGCAAGAGTGATAGGCTTTTGCTGGATAAATGAGTTAAATATGTGGCTTCCTGCAAGTTAATAAACTAATAAATAACAATTTGGTCTGGATGAATAATGTAGATGGACTGCTGCTGGCATCCACCTGTGTTTCAATGATGTGGAACATCTCAGCTCCGTTGCCAGTCAGCCGGTTGGGAATCCTGATGTCCACTCTGGAGCCAGGCAACCTGCTGGGGCCCTTGTTTATAGCCTGGAAAGACATCACACAGAAAGAAAAGACGGATAAATATACAAAGAAGCATTTTTAATACATATTTTGGTATCTATTCTCTTCCTATAGTACCTGAAAAGTGAGATTGAGAGGTTGAAAGTTGCAGTCCATGTCTTCTAATTGGACAAAGCGTGAGTCTTCAATGGAGTTTCCATACACAAAGGAGGTTGGTGTAATCACACTGCAGTTCAGGAAGGTGACGAAAGATAATTTATTAACATGGAAACAAAATTATTTAAATGACAAGAGACAAAATTATGTTCTAAAAAGTTCCATAAAAATTTTCGGTTCGAGTCGCGCTCGGCTCGACAGAAGCTTTTCCTTTATCAGCAGACATATTTGTCCAGCTTTGTTCTAAGCCTCCCTTCACATTAAAGACAGCAGCCTTATCAGATTTGGGCTGTTTTACATCTCTCTCTCCCTCCTCTGTGAAGCAGAGCTGTGATAAAGCATTCGCAGATAAGGCTTTTCAAGTTGATATCCTCCATACTGACAAACACTCCCTCGCTTCCTGTGAGCCAACTGATGGGCAACCAGCTCAAGTCGCTGAGATAGCTTTACATTTTGCAAAACAGTGACTACACTGTTGTGGAATTCATATTTGTCTCGTTCTTACCCAGTGATAGTGGTGTCGGTCTCGTGAATCAGAGGGATGGAGATATCCAAAAAGTTGTCGTTGAGATTGTGCTCGGGATTGGCGCTAAAAGAAACAAAGATCAGTGAAAGTGAATATTTCGCTTACAATTATTTGTGTAGATCAATATTTACATTTGCAGTTATATTTGAGCTTCTCACCTTTTTGCTTGAACTAAGAACTGCAACGTGTCATCTTCTCCAGAGAGCCGAGTCGTGTCAAAAATCACTGCAAAATGATACTGCAAAGACAAAAAAACCCCAGAATAATATGGGGTGTCATATTCTCAACTATGAAAAGCTTTTTAATGCGATGAAGTATGTCTGTCTGTCTGACACTGAACTATTCCCAGCAGGAGGCTGGTTACAGAGGAGGTTAAAGCACGAGTACTGCATGCAGTGAATTCTACCTTAGTTTGAGCTACCTTAGTCTGCGCTCTCATGAAAGGAAATCCCACTCGGCACTGAAGGAAGTCCAACTCGACAAGCTCACAGGAAATACCCTTCTCTTCCTGAAAAAAGAAAGATAGACAGAAAGAGTCAGTGGATGCGATAAAGACAGACTGACTGGAGACAGAGGGGGTGACACTCACGGTGACCAAAGACACAGCGAGGAAGGAGCACTAGGCAAGACGCAGAGCAACTGGTTCTGATAGTGGAAAAAAATCGGTAGTAGCTTTTGATGTTAAAACAATGGCGACTGGTGGACATACCTGCCAGCATTTGGGGTGTAGTCAAAGATTATTATTAAAAAATATAAACAAACCGACTCAAGATTAGGTTAAACAAAGAATGCACAAAGCAGTGATGGCACACACATCTTAGCGGGTGGGTAATTGGAAAACGTCCAGGCTGCGTGTTTGGAAGCTTGTCTAAACAATATAGAGCTTCACCGGCTGCGCTGTATAAACACTCAGGCCTTGACCCTTACGAGGAGTAAGAATTCCTTTAGCGAGAGTTCACCGAGAGGCTGTCAGCTGAGCTCATGTGCTGGGAGAATGAAAGAGGGCAGAGATGCTTCACAATTATAAATCTAAAAAAAGAGACAGCCTAGCGCTCCTGGAAAAGAGGCTTTGGGTAAGTCATACAAAGCATCTGCATGCACGGGCTGTTGTCCAGTTAGAGTCTGTGTTTATAACACTTTTCCAAATATGACAAAGGAAAGAAGTGTGAGGGTTGTCTGTGCTGACATATTAAAGTGTAGAAATCCATCCACGGTATCATCCCATTACCCCTTATTCAGCAGTTCTTAGTAGCAGCCCAGGGTGTGGTCGTGCCCTACATCTTCATTAAGTCAGCTTAAATAAGCAGCGCTGTGCTCTGCGATTGAGACTACGGTGACCCCGGGCAACTGGGGACGAGGACCCCAGCATAACTGCCAATGATGGAATTTCCTCTACTTCCTGTATTCCTCCGTGCTGCTGTGCAAACACTGCCTGTCCCGTGGGGCTGGGCAGGATTGGGAAAGTCAGCCTGTTTACCCATCACCCACCTGGCAGCCCTTGAGAGAGAACAGAGCATTCGGACATATTTTCAATTCTCTTCTCTTTCTCTGTCAGCAACACATACATGCTGGAGTTCTTGCAAATGGTAGGGTCATTAAACATCACCAGGACTGTTTACCCTGCTTTAGTGTCAGCTGAAGCATCTACTGGTGCAGTACATCAATGTGGATGACAATACACAGGAGGCCTGTGTCCTGCATGTTCTGCGTGTCTCTTCATGTCTTCTTTGGTATTTAGACAACTGGATTTATATTGGTTTACTTTTTCCACACCAGTGTCATCACCTACTTTTTGCTTTCCACTCAGGTACGAAGATGAAGAGCTACAGTACCTCTGCTTTCATAGCATGTGTAAAGTGTCACTTCACTGCCAAGAAAATCGGTGATTCATATATTCTTGGGTCTGAGGGTCCACTGAAATTCACACATTTCTTTGCTGGAACTTCTGGGCTTTTCACCACAAAGCTGACTTGGTCCAACTGTTAAATAAGCCGAAACCCACCATGGCAGAAGCATTCAGATCCTTTCCTTTAATGAAAGCGGTCATAACTCTCAGAATGACAAATGTGTGCATTCAAAATAAATGAACGAACTGAACTTGAAGTGTTAAAGGTAAAAACAGTAATTATGTAGAGTGGTTTATATTAAAACAGCAAACTCTTGGTGTATTCCCATATTACTGCTTACATGAAACAATGATTTTGATTACATTTTAATTAACCCATCATGTTTAAATTTTACTTCCAAACTCTACAACTGCAGCTTTTCATTTACACATGTGGACAGCTTTGATCATTCTTTGGTTATATTACAATGTACCGTATAAAAATCTTATTCTACACAAACCCATAATTGGCACCCAGTCTAATCTCAATGTAGTAGTTTAATCTAACAAATCACAATTTTAGATGTAGTTCTGCTTTGTGTGCAAGGCTTTTTGTAAAGTAAGCAAAAAATTAGTAAGTTAAAAATGTAGCCGAGTGCTCTGAAAAATACAAAGACACGAGACATTTGTCACAGGTCCGGCTAAAACTGACTCCTTAAAATATTTCAATAAAAAAAGAAAAACAAAACAAAACAGAAGCCAGCAGAGCTCCTGAAACCAATTCAGCTCCACAGTTTTCTGACAGCTTGTGTTGCAAGAACAACAGAGCCATAACCCACTCCGCTCTTAAATATGAGGGGAGTACAAGTTCACGCTTTGCTCACTGGAGAAAAAGCCTAAAGGGAGGGTTAGGAGCTGACCTTTACTTCACCAGAAAGGGGTCACATCATCACCTCAGACTTCTCCAGTAGTAATTAGAAGTGTGTGAAAGCGCATACAGCGGTAAATCTTCTCACCGGCCTCGTTGTCACCTGCACATACTGTTCGCTTCCTGCTCCCTTTGTGCAGCAGAGAACTTTGACTTATCAGGTTCCTGAACAAAATGAGGCTCTGGGGCTGCTGGTAATCTGACACTTAAAGTCAGTCGCTTTCATTAGATTAACTTTGAAACCGAAACAGTGTTTTTCTAATATTTGCCTGCAGCGTATATTCTGTTTAAATTCAATTTCGCCATTGTCGGGGGTTTCAAATCCTGCCTTGTATCTTTTACCGTAATGGCCTCATCCATCACAGGGATGAAACCCCCCCGCCCCGACAAACCATCCAACTGAAGATAAGCACAAGGTCCATTTTTCTTTTTTTTTGGGGGGGGGGGGGGGGGTGCACAGAAACTCCTTCCTGATGAATGCTGTCAAAGTGCACCATCTGACGTGGCGTCACGCTCAGCTACAAGCAGCCTTTGTGACAACAAGTGAGCAAACAGACGTGAGCAGAGGCAGAGGTGGACACTGTGAAATCGATCGGCAAGGAAAATCTCTCAGGTTTAATGTGGGATGGCAGTGGGTAGATATTTCTTTAACAGCGACAGAATGCTAAAATCATTAGAAGTCAAACTATATGAGGAGCAGGTCTGATTATTCCCCATCCCCATGAAGGTCAGGAATAATCCACATATATCTAATTAAATGTGGCCCTGCGAGAGTAAGAATAAGTCAAGCTTGCGGAAATACAAATGTGTGTTGTGCCTTGTTCCCATGCATACAGCTCATTTGTTGATGACATGGTGTGTCTGTCTTAAATGAGTCAGAGGAGCGTTTGACAGCTCAGCCAGAGGAGCTGCCCTCTGACACGGGACAGCTGTTGCTGCTCCTCCTGCTGGGGCTCTCTGGGTTTTTATGCTTTCATCTTCACATCTACCTACACAGCTCGGGCAAAGCTTTAAGCTCCCCAGTCGTCACGCAGATCTGGCTTTCCCACTGTTTAGACTGTGTTCCTGACATATAATCATATAGTCTTTTTAAATAAACATTCCTCGGGAAAATGTACATCACAGCAGAACACCAAGGCCATCCATCTAATACGTGTGTGCAAAATATGGTTTTGTAAATCATTACGGCCTCAGCTTCGCTTGTACGTTACTAAAGCGAAAAAACAAACTGTCAGATTTTAGATATAAATATGTGAACCAGAGTAAATAAATAGCAGATACTTCAAGAATCACAGACCTTCTGCCAGAAGTTGATGTAGAAAACTTCCCTGGAGAAGTTCAAGTAGATGTTTGTGTCATAGGCGTCATCGCCAGCGTTGGAGATGGTCAGGTTCAGAGAGACGTTCTTCACTCCTCCAAGGGCCAGATGGGGTTTGCTATGCAAGCTGGTGGGTGCACAGAGTAAACAGCGTACTTCAGCAATTAAAAACAATCACTTGAAGAGCAGTAAGTACAGCTTCGTATTAAGTAGCCTGCATTCTTCTTTGAAATTTTTAGTGTACAAAGAAAAGTGCACCTGCAGGAGAATAGCTGTTTGTTTTTGGAGCACAACAAAGAATATATGCAGACAAATGAGTTGTTAGGATGACAGACATAAACTGTTGAGGAGAGAACAGGAGATAGATAATAATGGAAAGGGAACTCCCTAACTATGGAAAAAAAAAACCTATGGATCCTCTCCAAGCATGCGTCAGAGTTCCACTACCCACACCCTCATGGCCTATGATGTCAGCTTGCTTCCTTAGTACTGGAAGAAAAGAATGAATCTGAGCTACAAAGTAAAATGTTTTTACCCAGAAAGCAACAGTTTCCCATGAAGCCTCAGGTCTGCGGCACAGTCGTCTGACAGGCAGTTCTTCTCAAACCAAGTCTGAAAAGGAAACAGTACAGTACACAGTTCAGATGACCTCATGCCCTGAACACACCGACTCCACATTCAGGGGGCGGTGTTGCTTTGCTGTGTGAGCTGTCCAGTAGTTTTGCATCCACAAAGCTATCTTTCCCTTAATTAGTCAGAGGATGGGCTTTGGTTTAAATCATGAAGGGAAATTTAAGTCGAGCGTTAAAGTCTGATGCAAAGTTGATGAGTTTCAGATAAAACGGATTCTGTAGATGCTGAAATGCAACTGCCTCGCTCTTTCAAGAAGTGCATACACCGGGGGAAACACATGTGGTCCAGGTTAGAGGTGCTCGCAAAGAAAATAAATGAATCAGTCTTTTTGGACTCCACTCAAGAAAAGCTAACACAGGCAATAATAAGCTGGTAACCAACACCAAATCATTACAACCCCACATTGGAGCCATTTCCTTCATTCCTACTGTGGTTTGCAGGAAGACACTTCTGTCTTTTAATATCAGGTTTGGCGGGGGTCACTTTTAGTCAGGAAATGAAATATATCATAAATTGAGCTGGTAGGAATTAACTGTCAACCTTTTACAATAAGAGCAAGGCACACTTAAATAGACAGAACATCTTATGAGTAACATTTCACTGTATTTGTGTAATTTGTGAAAATAGAATGAAAATTACAGTGAATGTGGATTTAGTCTGAACATATTTATCGTACTGTTACACAAGATTTGATTTTAAGAATGACAAATCCTGTGATTCCTGCAATTTACTTTAATGATGGGATCGGCTTTCTTTTTTTTCCAAAGAAGTAACTCAGTCAGTTATCGGTTTTCCCTCAAGATCCTGCTTTAATCCTGCAAATATTTGAAAAACACGCAGTGAAATAGCTGGGATGTTCATGATCCTCAAAGACAGGCTACTTTAAATCCAACGGCTGATAATATTTCTCTATAAAGAGTCAGCATCAAACTTTATTAGGTGTTGCAGATACTGCTGTGAAAAACATGAATTTTACTCTTCAGGATTCGTTTTTAAAGCAATCCCCTTCACTTCACACTTAAAAAGCTCTCCGTACTTCATTCCTCGCTGCAATCTTCTTCCCTTTCCTCCATCGCAGCACTGGAGTGAGCGCGGGCAGGTCTCGCTCCTGGGGTCCTGTCAGCACGTGGGTCCCCAGGCTGTAAGCCACCTCGAATGTGATGGCTGTGAACACGTCCTTAACGTCCTTCTGTGGAGAGCAAAAACAAGGCTAATGCAGGGGAATCTGTCCAACCACAGACACACTAAAACTAAATGTAACCTCAGATATATAACTGTCATGCAGCTGTCTGGGTGACTGCAGTAATTTAACATCTTTCTCCGATTAACGCCTGGCGCAAAGACACATTACACTGCAGATTACCGGAAGATCACACAGTCTGAAAATGTCATATCGTAGTGATCAGTCTGCCAGGGCTGCACGCAGACACGAGTACACTGATAAAATCACGTGAATTGGTTTGTATGGATGGCTGACACATCTCATCAACATCAATTCATCTTTGACCATCGTTAAATATGACAAAAGCACGACCACCAGTGCAGATTCTAAGCAAGGCACTTTTTTTTCTTTAAAAAAACCTGCTGGCACTGCCTCTGAGAGATATATTGGCATTCCTGGCGACTCCATCTGAGACCATAAAAGAAGTGTTTGATTTGGCATCGGGTTTGGAAACGCAGACAGAAAGAAAACAGAGCTAAATGTGATCAAATCCTGCATCCTCATTAGATGACAGCACTGAAAGACATACATGGGAAAAGCTGATACTGATGTTGGTTTTTCATCTCTTTGTCTACTCAGCTCTTTGAAGGCAGCTTGCCGGATCTAGTTTTGGTCTCGCTATCTAAAAGCCGCAGCAGAAAAACACACACACACACACGAGCTCCAACTGCAACCGGTGTCCCAGTCCTTGACTGATGTCAGCTAACACGGAGCCAAGCCCACAATGTCAACACAAAGGGCTTCCCGGTGTCTTCCGGTGGCCACTCGTTCTTTTGCACTTTCTCTCTCTTTTTGTCCACCCACCCATCCTCTTTCCTCAGGCAGGCACAGGGCCAGTCTGGGCTTTGACATGAGGCATCACCAGTGCCAAACCCACCCAAATCATCAGCAATGAGAGAGTTATAGCAGGAAAGAGCAAACGTTAGTGCAGCGCATGACAAAAACAGATGATTTAAGGCTCATTTGGGAAACGGTGCTCATCACAGATAAAGACAGATAATATCGGAGCGTTTTTAATTAATTTCTGCCATCGTGTGCTTGGATCTCCTGCCCAAAAAATAAATAAATCTGACTTCGATTTTATTTTCCGGATTAAAAAAAACAATCATTTTCTTAATAATAATAAGCTACTCAGGTAGCAAAGCAAGATGGCGTCTTTAAAATCTTCATTCAGAAACAAGATTTTTCATCTCAAATCCACCGTTCAGCTCATTCCTCTCAGTGTTGTTCTACTGGCAGGTCACCTAAGCTGGGAGGTAACAAATTTGTGACACAATTAGTTATTGCAGGATATGTATGAAGCACTGGCAAAGCCCTCAGTGTTAGCGGCAATTAAAGCCGAATGCATGAAATGGCCCCTTTCCGCTGGCCTCTGAGTGAACTGACCCCCTGGGAGATAACTGCTTGGGTCTCCAGTCCCAAATTCCCACTGCTTATCTCGCATTTTCACAAGCCACAAGGGAACTGGAGGACGTAATGGCTAGAAATAAAAGTGGGGTATTTTTGTCCAATGTCCTGCCTAAAAGTGACCTCTGTGTGCATGTAAATATTAAGAAACATCCCAATGAGCTTGCTGTTGTCAATCATAACAGAGCATCTGTTTTTGTAGAGATGTAGGATCACTTAATCCTTGACGCACCGGACCGAAGACTGCTAATTGACTCGTGAGCTCCCAAGACTAACAGCGCACTCACATTAGAAGAACCAGACTCTGTTTGGTAACACTTGGCCTAAGCTTTTATTATCCCTGGATCAATGCCGCCAATTGCCCCACCCGGATCCGCACCCCTCGCTGGGCCATTTACTCCCACCTGATCCTTCTTTTAGTTCCTGTATTTATGGAACAGAGGAGCTCCTGAGGTCCAGCTGAAAAAGACAGTGGCTAGTGTTTACCGCCTGCTACCTATATTATTATGGAAATTGAAGCAATAACTGCTCCTTACATGCTGGTGAAGTTCAGAGGCAGACTTGTGAGAGGCCATTCTGCCACTCAACAGGCTTGCACTGTGTTAAGCCTCATTTAAACACAGAAGCCGCAGGGTGCGGCACGGGTCTCAGATCAGATAGGGCAATGACATGAGTGGAATTTCTGATATTTGGAGGCCAGTAATTCGTGTTAAACATATAGCTCTGAATTAGCCCTAACACTAGTTGCTCAGAAACAGGGTCTAGCATTGTAATCATCAATGGCTACCACACAAATCCTCATTATATGGCTCATTATATGCAATATCTGTTTCTGTTGGACTAAAAATATTTTTGTCCCTTTCTATCTCCTGGTCTCGGTCTGTGGATGCTATAGTGATTTTTTAAAATTTCCCATACAGATTTAAACCATGTGAAAAAAATCCATCTCTGGAGAGAGAACTGCCAATAAAAAGGCGAAATATTCTGCACCGTCACTGAACAGAAGTCTGAAACTTTTGATCATCTCTGGGGCAAAATTACTCATTAAAGGTTCCAGTCAATACTGTGGAGATGCCAAAACTCAGCAGGAGGCAGCTGTTTTCCAGCAGTACCCACTTTAGCTGTAAATTATTGGCTGTAGGATGAAAAATCGGCACGTTAAAGCAGTTTGCTTCTTTTACAACAGGCTCGATACAAGTGCTTCCCGGTTTATTATTCATATGTATTTAATTCACAGGACACAGATCAGCTTGCTACGCCGCATGTTTTGAAAGAAAACAAGTTAAGCTGAACACTCCCTCGCTCTGGAACAAGACTTCTGCCAAAATACTATTTCTGTGCTCCGGTTCACACTCAGGACCCATTTATTTGGCACAACAGAGCATAACTCACACCTTTACCAACCACTCTTTTCCCTTGACATTCATTCCTGCTCCCCGAATGGATTTTTCCCACGCACCCATAACGTAAGCGTAAAGCACAAAGCTTGCACGATTTTAATGAACATGGCTACCGTGTGAATTAATCTTAGCCTTAAATTCTAGTGCTAGAGCTAGACTTTCACATGTTAATCTGATCAACAAGATGACAGTGCACCAAGCTGCCCCATTCATGCTCACGGAGCAGCTCCATCATGGTGGGTGCGGGGAGGATGACGTCAGACTGCAAAAGGCTCTGATCTGCACTTTAAACGCCTCATGCTTGGCTGAGATGAAGAGCTCCGTTCTTAGCCAAACCATTCCCTCAGAAGCATATAGCTTAAGCCTGGTCATGGGAAGTCTTTATTAACTTGGGAGGGAAATGTGAATACAGCACTCCTTTTAAGGACAATAGATGTTTGGATGAGTTACAGGTTGAGGCCGTTTTATTTGAGGGCTAAATGCCAGGGAACTTTTTTTTTTTTAATGGAAAAACCTTTTTTTCCTCCTTATGTGATGAATGGATCCAACCTGTTAAAGGTTAGGAGTAAGGGTGTATGCTGAGACACTAGGAGACAATGTGAAATTGAAAGTATTTATAGTAATGTCTGCAGCATATGGCAGCAATGCACTTACGCAGCTTATCCAAGCGTGTTCTTTAAAAAAGTCTAGAAATAAGACAATTACAGAAGGTTTTAGTGACAGAAGGTCAAAGTACAGCAGCTGCTCTGCTCAGAATAGGTTAGCAGATGTTGAAAGGCCTGGAATGACAAACTGAGTGGGAGTAGGGAAGAGCGTCGTCTGGTTGTTTCTGCTAGAAACCTTTGGAGGAGTCAAATAGGAGCAGCTTCAATCTGTCTGTGAAAATCATCCTCATGTGTCATGGCAGAAAGATTAGAGACTGGACCTGTGGAATCATCATAATTCCTTAAAAAGGCAGACCAGCAGTCTTCACTCTTAAACCGGAAGAGATTAAAATCACACATCTCTTACCGTATAACAAATTTGACAGGTCTTACTTGATTTATCTGCAATGAACTACACTCACATCCACAAAAACCACCCTTTACATCCTGCTAAAATCCCCCAAACTCTTCAAATTGTCATTCCCAGAGGCAGGATATTCTTTAAAAATCTAAATAACTTCCTCCAAGGACATTGTGAAGGACTTTACAGTGGGAGTAACAGCAGACCTGTGAGGTTTCTCACCATTAAGCTTTTATTGTGGTTTTCCTCTAATTTTGTTACTTTAACTGTGCCTGAGGGCACCATTGTTCTCTCATTGTCTCGTCACACAGTTTCTATTTTCCTTTAAAGGAAATTTGTATGTTTTCTGCATTATTTTGAGAATGAATTGATTTTTAGAGTAGGCCAAAGAAACTGAAAAGTTGATACTGTGAAGATGTACATGGTGGTTGAATGCTCATCTAGTAGACCTGACCTACTAGGAGTGATGTTGAGTTGTGTTTCTGATCACACGGTGTCTAGAAAATCAAATGTGCCCTTTTCCATTAACTATTGTGGTCCGCTAGGACAGTGATTATAGTGTTTGACATTTGGCCAGATACTGAGTCAGTGACATCATTTTCTTCAAAGACGTCACTACATATGGCCGACAATACAAAATATTATAATATAATAAAATGTCAACTTTTAGATGGCAGACCTAAAAGCTAATCCATGCAACAGTTGCAGCGCATTTTTATCACATAGTGTAGTTGCGTTTGCGCCCACTTGATTGAATTCAGACCAATATTCACTCAGTCTCAGCTCTGTGTTGTTCTTCAGTAATTCTTGCGGGAAAACTCTGTAAATGTAGCTGTTTAATGAGCCACTTCTGTCTGCTGGAACTGGTAGAGTACTGGTGGGTTTTCAAGCTTTTAAGCAGAAAGAAGCTGCCCACTCTGGCCAAAAGCAACACTATGAGTCTCAGTGAGAATAAACCAAAGCAATAAAATCATTGTCCTACCTGCGAAACAATGAACTGAAGCGAAACAGCTCTATAAAGCTGAGGGGAACTGCAGGTTGAGGCGATAAAGTTTTGTTGCAAGTGAACCCTTCGCATTGTTTTTTACATTCTTCCATTGATATATCGGATTTAAAAAAAAACTGTCGGCATGGCAGCTTTGAGCAAAAACGTGT